GTTAATAGTAAAACCTGATTTGCAGTATAGGCAGTAGCATTTGAAATGACTGTCAACAGTGGTAAAAGGATATCCGACGAAATATCAATGCATTTTAATGCGGTACATAGATATTTTGCTTCTGATGGTGTGATCAATTTCTGAACGAAATGATAATTTAATTTTAGACAATAAAATCAAAAGTTACTAGAAGCCATCCGTTTAACATTAACTGCAAATTCATTTTTTGAAAAATAAAAATAAAAATCACGATATGTAAACCTGTGTTCGATAAAGTTTGTTAATCAATGATTTTAATTCATCGCTTGTTGAAAAGAAATTTGCTGATGGATTAACCGTAATACGCCACTGTGGGGAATTATGCTCATCATCATCCGGATCTGTTTGTGGTAAACTCTGCAAAAAAAAAGGAAAAAAAAAGAAAACAGATAAGCAAGTCAATAAATAAATAAATAAAGTAAAATAATCTTAGCTAATTTAATGGAGAAAAAAATTAAACAAAAATAGTAGATGTTTGCTTTCTTTTCATTTAAAAACGGAAATTTTGAAAATTAGAATATTTTTAATTTATAAATATTGGTGTTCTTATTTATTACTATAATAATAATATATCACTAATTAAAATGTTTATCTGTTGTCGAATACTGTGATAAATTTTCCGTATACTTTTTTTGCATTCTATTAATCATATGATTAACTAAGTCATTTGTATAAAATTGATTTATAGAATAGTGAGATTAGTTAACTAATTAACTAATTAATTTGAAGTAACTATATTGATTAATATCTTATTACATATCAATACATATTATTTTTCTTTTTGCATCTTTAACTGCTACATTTTTTCTCTTTCTTTCATTCGACAAAAACATGAAATTTTTTTTTTTTTTTTTTTGAAGAAAAAAATTTCAATTTTCACATTTTTATTAACACAAAACACATTTCATGTTTTTTTCCTTTTCATTCAATTTGCAAGTAAATTTGACGAAAAAAAAGAGAGAAAAATAGAAAAGATGCAGTGAATATCTAAATTTAAATTTACCGGTCTTTTCTAATTTTCTATGCTTACTGTAGCAAATGTGTTTTATTATGTTACAAAGGTTTCTTTTTTTAACACTTCACTCAAATCTGTAGTACTTTCGGAGTTGTGCTGAACTGATGGATATAAATTTAACAAAAATATTTTCCCTCTCCATAATGCTACAAATGCGCTTCAAAATATTTCATACACATCAAACAATAATAATAAAATTTTAAACTTCTTGAAATGTTACATTACCTTTTACAAGTTTACAAGGTAAAAGGTAATGTAACATTTCTTAGCTTACGTAATAAATAAAAAAAAAATATCACATATAGAAGCTCTCTCTACAATACCTCAAGAAGCCTTTTTACTTCCGTATACGTAAAGTATGTTTTAAATACAATAAAATAGATTAATCTGAATGTGAAATCATTCTACTTAAATAATCATAATGAAAAGCAGTAAAAAAAGAGAAAAAAAAAAAGAGAAAAGAAATTACAATGAAACCTGAAAACTTCCAAAACGTGATGAAGCAATTTCAACAACGAAAGCCGATTGCTGCTGTCCCATTTAGTAAACGATGTTATTGATTTCCATCAAAGAGTGATGGGATGGTGGTGAATGAGATGCATTTATAGGCTTTCAATTTCGATTCTTTTTAGACTCCCATTCGACTCAAGCCTAAGCCTAGGCTTTTGCTCTCCTTCTTCTGCCTGTGACAGTTATTCACTGATTTTGCTAGTTGCTATTGCAGTAGCCAAAGCAAGAAATTGATTTACCTTAAGCTATCATCCATATATTCACTTCCAGAAAAACAAAAAAAAGGGAAGTGGATGAAAAAAAAGATGTATATATAGTCCCCATCGGAAGAATTTTTTACATGAAAATTAAATTTAATTGTGTAAAAAGGATGGGTTGATCAATTGAAACAAGTGTGACGAAAGGAATAAAAAAACTTTCGTTTCTATCAAGCACTCTCCAAACGACAAGCAACAGACAATTTTTTTTTTTTCATCGAGATAATTCAGTTATGTAAGAAAAAAAAGAAAGCACCTTGTTGTTCATTTAGATGAATTAGTACAATAATATTAACCAAGCAAGAATGACGACAATATGATAAGATAAAATATTTCAAATCATTCTTTTTCTCTTTCCCATTTTTCTTTTTCTCTTTTCTCTTAAACTTATTTTGCTTAATACATTTCGAATGAATCATGTATCGAATTGTAAATCACGAAACTATTTGATAAATATAGTTACATTGAACAAATAAGTAAATGATATCACAATTAACTTTATTTGGGAAACAATTTAGCAGCATTTGGTAAGGCACTTTTGAGATCTTTGAGGCACTGTTGAGGCTGTAGACTTTGTAAATTAAGTGTTGTGGAAAAGCCTAAACGTCCTTCACCGATTAAAATTTCTGTATTCTGTGGATCAATACCACATGATGTAGCCAAACGAATGCCCTCACTGTATGTAAGTTCCTCAATTTGCTTCCGCATCTCTGGCCACATCATCTCGGTTATCATCCCTGAAAATTTCATTACTTCGTTATCTGTATAATATATGCCGCTTAAATTTACCTCATAGCGTCATTTACATGATTAGAAAAAAAAAAAATGGCAAAGCGCATCATAAAAAGGACTAAACTAAAATAAAATAGTAATTTCCTGGAAAAAAAAAAGAAAATAATAATTGCCACATTAAATAAAAGTATGCTAATTTTCTCCTAATACAAGTATAGTTTTAATAGCTAAGGAGGATATTCGGCCAACTGTTATCAATTATCCTAATAATAATTAGATTAACAACGATAAAATGCTGAGATAAGTGTCTACCTTTTATCAAGTCCTGAACAAAAAATGACCAAGAAGGAGGAAAGGCACCATTTTCCATCACCACATTTGTGTCAAGCAATTGTACTAATGTCCGTAATGTACCGGAATCAATAACGGGTCGTAATTGGGCCGTAACAGATAGGAACATGGATACAAATACAGATGTAACGTTTTTATCGGGATTCACGACACGTAAATTGAGCCTATCACGCCTTGAAATTGAGAAAAATGTTTGATTTCAAATAGACGTAAATCCTTTTCCCAATCAATGAACAATGGTAGAACTTTTACCATTTAGGTTTGACTTTCAGCAAGTGTGATCTTAAGTTTCTAACTTTTTGCATTGAATCATACTGCTTTGGAAGCATTAATTGAAAGAACTTACTTTTCCAGGACAACAGTACCGTTTGTAGCTGTCAAAATAGGTGATCCATTAGCCCAAACATTTAGCAAGAAATAGCAAGAAGTACAAAGAGTTGAAAGAAATTCTCGAGACGAAAGAGGTATCACGGGACTTGTTACCGCAATTGTTTCCTCCATCCACTGGAAACTCCAGTCAATCTGCAAACAATTTGAACTCAGATCCTCTTTTCAAAACAACTTTTTGTTGAGGTTCAGTAACATGAAATGGCTAAACATATGATAATTTACTTAGAGTGATCGCTTGGAACATCGTAAATTTGGCTTTCAACTGTTTCAATTAAGAAACTCTAAAACTAAATAATTTCTTTAAACATTTGGGATATTTAAAAGTATAACTTAAAAGAACCTGATTGAGGACATCATTAAGGGCTGCATCATCAATCCAAGTTATTATCCGATCTTCGTTGTTCCATTTCATACTTACGTTTGCATATGAAATTCCATTGTTTTCAAACAAGCGCTTCCAATTAATTTCTGTTACTATCAAAATATGCTTCTCTTCTACTATTATTGATGTTAAACGATAGAATAAGGAGGAATCTGCAGTATTGATAATATCACGAATATGAGCTGGCAGGATCTCATTTAATGACACGTTCCTGAATCTTTGAAATTAATCATAAATCCTTTTTATGATTTTGAAACTGATTGTAAAAAAGAAGAAAAAAAAAAGGAGAAAATCATCCATGTACTTACATAATAATGGGATTTTCGATATTTGAGATGTAGTTGGCGATAGACGGACAAATGAGCTGCTGAAGATGTGATCGGATCGGATTTGTTGCGATGTATAACAATGTGCCTACCATCCAGTAGCTACTAGATGTAGCATTAACGGTTGTATCCCGTAAAGAACATGATAACATTCGAACATTTTTCTCCTCGATACGTACCGCTATTTCAACATCACCCACCTGAAATGATTACTTAAGTTTCGAAAGTAGTAAAAAAATACAACTACTACTATTATAACTGAATGATGTAAAAGATAATGAAAATGTGTAAGATTGAAAGTAAAGGTGATTAAAATGATAGCAATAAAAAATAGCAAGCAGAAGTTTTGAAAAGGTAATTAATTGTAAAAGAACTTACATAAACGGCAAGATCGACTGTTTCATCGCCAAAACTAACCGGCCAAATATTTGGAGTGATGTTTGATTTGGAATTTATTCGAACACTGCTTGCTTTTAAGCGTATCGTGTCAGGATAAAATTTAACAGTAACATTTGAATATGAAATTCGATTGTATGTTTTGATATATGCAAGAGGTAATAGAAGTGGGCTTTCATGTGTTCGAAATGATAAATAAAGTGAACGCGGTGAACTAAGTAATTGATGAGCTGCTTCACGAATAAGCTGTGATGCGGCACCAGATCCGATATCAAGGGATAAATCAGATGCTGTTATAACTGAATATTTCAGATACAGTAGTTGCGCAGAAAAAGTTAAATAAACAAGTAAGAGGTAGTGCATGACGTGCACACCTTCTAAGCACCACCACCATCATTATCATCATCATCTTCACGGCATTAGTCATTGGAAGAACAAGTTCTTGAAGGACAACCTCGATTTTCCCCGCTGTTATTGATGATTGAGAAAGAAGAGAAGAGAGAGGGAAAAAGAGAGAGGGACACCTATATCAAAATATCCTCCCATCTAGTACATATATGCACATCTATTTTGTATCTTTCCCTTACTACAAATATTATTTCATGGCCTTTACGCATGCAACTTTTCTACATCTTCTCATTTACAACATTCTTTCTTTTGCAGACATACATTTACATCCTCTTTTACAGGTAGATAGTTATTTTTCAATCATCTTAACATGTCATTTCATTCATTCATTCATTTATTTTCAATACTCTTTACATATTATCTTTAACCAATTCAGACATCTTTTTTCATTATTTTTATCATTTAAACATAAGTTAATTTTAATATGAAAATTTTTAATTCAGTCTTAAAATAGGAAATTTTTTTATTAAGATTTATTTATCATCGTCCAATGCTGTACGAATACGTATTTTACCGCGAGCTGTAGCTTATCTGAATAATATCGGAGCTGAAATATTAAATGAGCAATTACCACGTTTATCCATATCAAATATCAAACAACGCATCAACAATGGCCAAGGATATATTTTACTATCACGAATACGTGTATCACGGTATAAACGACCAACTGAGCACATCATTTCTACATCAGCTCCAAATAAAATCATTTGGATTATGAAAAATTTAAACATAGGGTAGGTAAGATCACATAAATAAATAATGATTAAGCACAATTCATCATTACATATAGCATTCTGAGAGATCATTAATGATATTAAATGCAAACGAAAATATGATTTCTACATTAAGCTTATAACTTTCAGATTAATAGGAAGTTTATCAGGCGAAGTAAATATACTAGTACCGATGAAACTTGAGGGTGAAGCAGAAGTATTAGCATACGGTGTTAATTTTCAATTAGAAAGTGCCCTAGAGAGATCAGAAATAGGAAGAGCTCGAGTGTCAATAATTTTTTGTCGTACAACTATTCAGTTAATGAATATTGAAATTCATAATGGTGGTATGACTGGAATAGCACTGAATTTATTCAAGGTATTTCCATTTTTAATTTTTTTTCTTTTGATCAGTAATTTTTTGCACCCAGATATTCTCATGAACTTGAATAAAAACAAATTTGGCAATAATTACTTCTTTCTTTTTAGTAGTTGGAAGCAATTTATCCCAGTCATATTAAAAAATCTCAAATATTAAATAAAATGCTCTTTTTTCGCTTAGAATTCTATTTCTTTTTAAATAAAGTTTCAGCTGTTATTTTAAAATCAAACTTCCGAGAACTTAGAAGATAGAAAATAACACTTTCACATTTATTTACATTAAAATTTTATATATTTATTAGTAGTTTTATTTCTTATATTTTGGTAAATTATTATTCGGAAATGCCCGAAAATGATGTTTTCTGAATTTGCAATCCTGAAGGAATATCCATCCGTTTTAAAAACTGGAATAAGTAGAAAAAAAAAATTAAATAGTTAACATTTTTGTTGTGCGCTTAGCTTTCAACTATTTTACTATTATGTGTGTGCAAACATTAGCGCAAGATGTTAATTTGATTATATTGTGAAAGTTTTCGAATACAGTATGGATAACGTTTTCAGAAATTTGTAAGCCATAAAGTTACTTTTTTATCATAGAATAGATATGGAAGTTGTATTTTATGATTAAGTGCAATTTCAAAATGATAATAGATATTTTAGGTCCTAAGATTATTGCATTTCAGGTTTTCAAAATTTATTCCTTACTACTAATATTTATTAACTATTATTATTATCATTACATTATTTCAAAAAATTTACAGTTATGATTAACACTTTGGTTTATTTATCCAATTTTATTTGCATATTTTCAATTTACATCTATAGTAGTTCAAATAAATTTCATCAGACTTAATTTATTAAATGTAAATTCCAATAAAATAAATTAGCATAAGAAAGTGTTAGATTGAAACAAAATGGAGTAGATAGTGTGCTGTTTGATTGAAGTATGAAATCTAAAATATATGCTAATTTTATGAGTATATTTTGAAATGTGATTAAAACAAAGTTTAGCAAGGTATATCGGAGCAAATTCGTTCATTGATTGAAACGCTAATTTGCAAAAAAGTAACAGAATTTATCAATGACGATTTCAATGAGAAATTATTACAAACTCAAACACAAACATCGCTAGCAGATGTAATACGAATAAATGCGTTTGCTGCAATTGGATTACCTAATACTAAAGAATTAATGGAAACTTTTCGATCATATAATGTTACTATTAGTTATTCTCATCTCGAAGTAAGCTTTTTCTCAAAAATCATTAAAACAATTTTTGTTTAATAAAGAGAAATAATCAATCATTTAATAAGGTAAATTCTACCAATAATAGTAATATGAAAGTATACTAAATTACCTAATATTTGTCCTAAAACCTGCTCACAATAATAAATCATTAATTCTTTTATCTTTTAATTAGAATTATCATTCGTTGCAGATTACTTACGAGTCATTACTATTTTTTTCTTTTCTTTTTTTCTTCACTAATATTTGCATGTTCTAAATTTCCTCAATAAGTGGAGAATTAAAGAAATGAAAGAATATTTTCAAAAAAAAATTTCAATTATCTTGTTGCTATTTACTGCTTTCTTCATGTTCAATAACAATAAATTGAAATTTTTGAAAAATTACAGTATATAACATTGCAGCAACTAGTTTCCAGAATTCTTATTGACTTCAGGTTAGTTAAAGCTTCATTAGCTTTAAGGTATGTCTGTGTATCTGTTTGTGTCAACCTATTTGTGTATGTGTTTGTCTGTGTGCGTATGTATGTATGTATGTACGTACGTATATGTATATGTATCTATGTATGTGGTATGTGTCTGCATGCGTGTGTGAATACTGTCTATTGCTTCGCTTTTTATTTTAATTTAGTATTATTTTATCTTTGCTGTGAATAATTTTTATAAATTGAATTGTAAAGTTGCACTAGTTCTCATATGATTTCACTAAATATGGATTTTGAGGCAAAAAATTAAAAAAAGAAAAGGAAATGGAAATCAGGAAATATCTCGAGAATTACGAATCCATGTTATAATTTGTTGGATTACGATAATCATAATCACACTTTTCATGACGGATTTCATTTGATAAGTTCAGATGAGATACTTTCAGGAACTAGGTTTCCCGTTTTTACACTAATTTCAGGTTAGTTAATTGACCGTTAATTACAATTTACGTTTGTTCATGGGTTGTGTGTGTGTGTTTGTGTATGCTTGTATAGACACTAATGACTATTGCTTTTGCTTTTTCATTAATTTAGCACCACCTAAGAAATAAATGCAAACATTTTCGATATAAGATTTGCCGAAAGAATTACAATTTAAAAACTTAGCTTTCTTCCTTATTTAACTTGCTTTTATAATTTCTTATCATTCTACAGAAATTTAAATGACTAACTTTTTAAGCTACAAATCAGTACACATCCATAATTTTATATTTCAGGCTAAATGAAGATCCATTGTGTTACAAAAATACGGTGGAAATATCTAACATGGGTGAAATTTCACTAATCATAGGACAGAACATAAAAAAAACTCCATTCAGTGCTGCACCAATGTTTTGGCCAAAAAAACCTTTGCAAAATGCAATGATACATTTACTTATATCCGATTATATTGCCAACGCATTACTTTATCACGCTTTCTCGTAAGCTCACGTTATTTGCCATACAGTATTGGAGAAATGCTTAAAGAGGATGAAATGCAATTATTCTTCAAGTAGCAACTAGCAACAAATAATAATATTCATTGAATTTTTAAAAATTAGAAAGGAAAAAAGTTTTCGACTAAAATTTAAGAAAAGAAAACATTCCACACATCACATGTGAGATAGGGTAAAATTTCATACCGATGCATGAAATTAATATGCAATAGGAAGTAAATAGTTCATGCATATTTAAAGGAGAAAAAATTTCAAGTTAAAATGAATGAGAATACTTTTAACGAATACTTGCTTTAAATTAATGAAATTTGACTGCATTTTGATTCCATACTGATCGTAGCATTATGAGCTACGCTTTTTTTTTTTTTCAATTAAGAATTTGCAGGGAACGTTTGTTGCAGTTTGTTGTGGATGATCAGACAATTTCGTCTTTAGGTCCATTGCTTCGTACCTCCTGTACAACTGGAATTTGTTTTGCTGACCTGATACCTCAAATAGCTGAACAGTATCCAGATAGAAAAGTTCGACTCACTTTTACGCCCACCCGTGCACCTGTGGTACTATTCCAAGCGAAACAAGGCGGTTCGCGAAATTTTTTAGTTTTTCATTATGTTCAAAAGTCTTACCTTTTCATATCTTACATTTCCACTACAGTAATATTTCTTAAAGAAGAGTAATTCCCTAAATTTAAAGTAATCTTTTAAAGGTCAACTTTAATTTTTTATTCAAACAGAATTTATGTTTACAGGTGTACTAATGGCTAATATAAATGGTTTGGTATTTATGTATATTGTAGAATCCAATAAAATAAGCCATCAAGCGGCAGCATTTGCTTTAGACATTGTTGCGAACATAAAGTTACATGTTGAGGTAAGATTTCCCTATAATAGATAAGATAAATGAATAGTTTTAATTGTTCACTTGTTCATTATTTGATTTATTTATAGAACAATACATTACTTGGAAAAACATCGGTGGATAGCTTTCAGTTAAAGAACAAATATGGATACATTAATATAAGTGATGATGAATTATCTGATGTTGCATTGCTAAGTTCCGAAATGCTTCAGCGTTTCATCAATGACTTTCTCCGTGGCGGATTTCCAATACCAGTACCAAAAGGTTTTCTCTTAATATCAAACTTATTGATCGTAGTTATTGGATAATCAGGATATATTGTTAGCTACGAAAATTAATAATAATAATAACTAATAATTATTATCATCATAGTAATCCTTCCTTTTCTTCCAAATACAGCGTCCTTGAACCTCTCAGTTCCTTCAAATAAGCCTATCCACTTTCACCACTCTTCCTTACTGTCAGCAGTGTACCAGCCACACTGCATGATATAAGCATTTATTGAATACTACATTTCAGGATATACTGTTAACTAGGAAAATCCATACATTCATGGAATTACTACTTTTTTTTCACTCCTTTCATTCAGAACAGTTCTGAACAAGGAAAAAAATTGAAGAATTTCAGTTTTACGGATCAACATCACTCAACTGCAAATCCTTGATCGGAGTGTTTTCATATCTGCAGACTTTGATTTGGATCGGAAACGTGTAAGCAACCTTGCCTTACAGGCATTTACAGATATCAAATATTTTCCACCTAGCGAACACATACAAAGTAACTGAATGAATAGAAGAGTGACAATTCATTTGATGTAAATATTTTCACTGTTCTAAAATTTTATACGGCCGACGCGTGTGAATAAATTTTATGTTTGAATTTCGAGTCGCTCAAACTACAAAATATAATATTGGTGAAAACATTTTAATTTACCTAAACTTATCATTTTGTACAAATTTCTTGTCATACCACACATTTCCATCGTTACTGTCAGCTGATCAACAAATGGTATACGATGTCAATCTTTTGAACCATTCATTAAAAACGGATCAGGAATGACGATGAATGGATGATTTTCGGATGACCACAGAGACGAGAAATCAATAATTAAAGTTATACCGACTAATTCCCCTCCTCCCCTCACCACCTCCACTCCGCTTCAATCAGAAACTCACATTACTAATCATACCTAATTCTTAAATTTGTCGTCGTCCAACCGTCCAATACCGGTAGCCCAAACAGAATAAAGTTTAATGTACTCCGCCAAGATATCGCGATGAGAAAGCTTCCTTTTAAATCTTAAGGTTTGGCAAGTACTTGAATTTGAAATAAAAGGTTCGAATTGTATGGTTATTTAAGTTTAAGTGATAAATTCTTGTCACTGGATGACTATTTCAGTGCGTTTTTTCAATATTGGTCTTATAAAACCACTTTCTGAAGTTATATTGCTTCCCATCAAATGTATTTGTCAAATCCAGATTCATTCAGTACTGTTTCAGCGTTCACTTTAGAGCATTAAAAAAGAAAACATACATTCGTATTAAGAAATATAGTGGTATCTTCGAGAGTGGTATCTTTAAGAAATGCACTTGCTCACTTCTCTTTATACAAAATTAATTCTGAGGATTCTGTATTTTTTAAGTTAGTGTTGCAATGTATTTGTTTTATTTTTGTTTATCTTCTTATTTCTTTACTTCGCGTTATGTTTATTGAATTGAATGTTTGCTTAATCATGTAAGTTAGTCTGCTGACATAATTAATCAATTAATTGATTAGTTTGAGGAGAACCTTTCTCGGCTTGCTTTCCAAATAAGTTCTGTTATGTTTATATTGAATCATTGAACAATTGTAATACTATTTGTAATTATATATTCTCATTAATTTATTTCGCGGTAATTTCCAAGAAAAAGCATAGCATCATTCCGGTCCAGTTGACTATCTAATCTCTAATTTGGAGAGAGATCGGATTATCATTTTATAGTTTGCTCTTCTACAACATGCAGATATTCTCTTTCTCTTAAATTTATCAAAAATAAGGGTGGAATATGGACGAGGTTTATTTTCCATTGAGAGAATGTTCCAAGCAAATCCACTGCTGACATATATCACTGTTATGATTTCCTTTAATAATTATAACGACATATTTCAGGGATAAAGGAAAAAGAAATGATTAGGCGAGAAGCTCGGTTACGTCTTGAATATGTTTATCGGAAAAGTCTGGAAGAGAAACAACGGTTAATCGACGAAAAACGACGCACTGTAAAGAAATATGTAGATGAAAACAGACCTATACCGACACATTTGAGGAAAGATGCCATTGACTTACAACACGAGGCTGAATGGGGAGGTGGTGTGTTTGTTAAACTATTTCTTATCTTGACTTCCACTATTTTTTTTTTTCACAACTGCTAAGTTTTAATTGAGATTTACTATGTGGCAAGAAATGTGAGTTGCATTTTTGGAGACAATAGTTAAACTAAACAACTGGGATGAAATAGGACAAACAGTAGAATTAACATTTATAAAAACTAAACTTCTTGGCTTCATGGATAGTAGGCATTTTTCTTCCCAGTGTTTATTCTGAATTTCTCGACGACTTTTTAGACCAGTCTTTTTGGTGAAATCTGATATTGTTATACAGTGCTAAAATACTGCTATTGTTGGCGTTTTCAGGGGAAGTTTTAGCTATCGATGATGAATATCGTTACGCTAGCGCAGTAGATCCAAAAGTTGTATTAACAACTAGTCGCGAACCATCAGCCAAACTTAAGATTTTTTTAAAAGTATTTTTCGTCTATTGATATTTCAAATACAAGATCTCGTAGTTTCTAAATTTTAGACTTTTTGCTAAAATTCAGTGGAGAAAAAGTCGAGGAAATTTATATGTGTTCACTTTGTTGAGCTGAAAATGAGAGATAATATCTATTGCAGGAAATGAGGCTGATGTTCCCAAATGCGCAACGTATCAATCGAGGCCATTATGATATCAAGAAGTTAATACAAGCTTGTAAAGCTAATGATGTTAGTGTTCACAGGATTTGAGCGTCGTTGTAATTATAGGGAATTACGATAAGTTTCGATTTTTATGAATTTCGGAGGCAGGCTAAAAAATTAAAAGATAAAGTTTTATAGCTTATTTATAAATTGGTAAAAAGCAATGTATTTCCAGTTGCATTTTGGCAGAATAGCGCTTTTGGTATTTTTTTAATCATTATCTTTATTTAATATAATACGTTTAAGATTACGGATTTTATACTGCTGCATGAAACTCGTGGTAATCCCGATGGAATGATTGTATGCCATTTACCCTTTGGACCTACTGCTTATTTTACTTTAGCAAATGTTGTGATGCGACACGAAGTGCCAGATTGTGGGACCATATCGGAGGAATATCCACATCTTATATTCGATAGTCTTAATTCAGCTCTTGGACGTAGAGTAAGTCAGGTTTTTTTCTTGTCAGTTTATCGAAGTCAGAGGAGCAAACTTCCGAGCAATATTTATTGACTAGGCTTTACAGATTTGTACTTTCTCTCTTTCTTTCTTTCTTTCTTTCTCTTTCTCTCTCTCTCTCTATATATATATATAAATGTTTTTAATTTCTTTTTAGTTAACTACGATATTAAAACATTTATTTCCTGTGCCAAAGATTGATAGCCGACGGATCGTCACTTTTAGCAATACTCAGGATTTCATTAGTTTTCGTCATCATACATACAGTAAAGATGAGCATGGTGAAATAAAACTGAAGGAAATTGGTCCACGACTCGAAATGAAGCGTAAGATTTTATGTCATGAAATGAAATCATACATGAGTCTACGATTGCTATAACTATACCTATTTGCAGCAAGTATATGAATTTGTTTATCTTTATATTGTTTTAGCGTATTTAATCAAAATGGGCACGATTGACAACGCCGATGCCGAAAGAACTGAGTGGGCCCTTCGGTCATATACCAATTCATCCAGAAAGAGGCTTCCTATGTTATCAGTACTAAATTATGACGATTAATGGGAAATGATGTTATTTACCTATTTATTTTATTACCTGATTGTGTTTGCATATATATTCTATATCTCGTATGTTTTGTTGTTGCTAATGTGCTAACTAGTGCATATGTATAAGAATAAAAATTTTCTGCTATTTTTTGAAAAAATACCATTTTGAAGAACCTTCCAAGAATCATTTTCGCTATCCAACATGACATGTTTTACGGCGACATAGCTTCAAGGCGAACGGTACCATACATGAACATCTTGGATCTTAATTGGGTCCTGTGAGTTCCATCGATTTATGTGCTCGTTCATTCTAAACGTCCATTCTGCTTATACAATTCTCGGAACCTAAAACGGTTTTCTAATTCATAAGAATGCTGTGCGGTTACCAGATGCACATTTTTAGTTCCAACTTTTCTCCAATATTTCTGCAATAAAAACTTTTTGTTTCTTGTTTCAAAACTGATGGATTGACTACTTTCTTGTTTTAACAATGTTTCATGTACATTCATGTCTTCCTGTAGTTTCTATTAAACTTCATGAAATTCTTTCAGCCTATCCCGATATTACTGACATTCTTGCTACTGACTTCAATTAGGTTTAAAAAGCAAAGATCATTCAGGCAGTCTTTTTATGACATAAATTAAGCCATGCTGTAAAATAAGGAAGAATATTCGTATCATTTTTCCTCTTTTTCTTTTTAGCAATGATAAGCATGCTAATAGCATAGGATGTTTGTTATCTTTTTGTTTCAATCTCATGATAATATACTCTTGTCAATTGTAAATGTTATTTCACACTAGAAAAATATGTTTAGTTTTGATATTGATTTGAATATAGAAAGTGAATTTGATTTTGTCCTGTTGCAGTTGATGATAGTTGACTAAAAAGCTGTAAGAAATTGCTAGCAAATGCAGCAACAGTAGGAAAAGATGCAGTAGCAGTAATAGCAATATCAGTTAGCAGTGGTTTTAACGAAATGATTATAAAAGATAAGCAGATTGAATGCACTAGACTTATATAATACGATTGCTTTTTGGACAGATTTTGAGAGCAAAGTAGTGTGAAATTTTTGCATCAGAGGAAGCATACATAGAGAAAAGAGAAGTGAATGAATGAGATTTGAAGAGAGAATGATTAAGCTCAAGCTTGAATTTGAACCTTGTCTTATGAACGCTCATTGATTCGTTTTATAAGTGAACTAGATTGGAGGATAGCTGTGCGATATGGTTACATCTTTGTTTGATGCATGCACATTACCTGTACTTCAATTTCAAGCACCATCTTCAGCAACATTTTCTTATCAATTCCAATTAGCTTCTCTATTTCATTATCAGTTAATCAACCTGTTATTGTTACTGTTAATCTTTTAACAGCCGACTTTCGACCACATTATCTTATCATTACAACACAACAATCTATTGTTCATATCGCCGAATCTACACATAAGTAATTCTTCACCAATCAACTTTTCATCCATCAGACTATTTCAGTCTCATTCATTTTGAGACTTTACTTCAATCAATAATGAGTTTAGTAATCACAAGAAAACCAGCATATTAAATAATGTAATCCTTCTTTTCGGGATGCAAAAAGCAAACAGAAGAACTGAAAAGTTCAATTTGATTTCTTATCAAATTTTATTGCCAGATTATTTGGTTACTATTTGATGGAATATATTTGCATCTGATACTCAGATACGTAATGTCACTTTTCTAAGGAGATCATAAATTGAATTTAAAGTGAACATAAGACTTGATGAAACATCAATAAATTAGACTAATGTGA